CTTTTAAGATTCTCTCTTTATCTTTGAGTTTTGCCAATTTGACTATAACATGTCTTGGAGAAGACCTTTTTGGGTTGAATACGTTTGGAGATCATTGAGCTTCCTGGATCTGAAGACCTGTGATTTTTCCTATACCTGGGTAGTTTTCTGCCACTATTTTGTTGAATATGTTTTCAATACAATCTCCTTTTTCCTCCCCTTCTGGAATACCCTTGACTCGGATATTTGAGCAGTTAAGGTTGTCTGATATCTCTCTCAGATTTTTTTCAATGTCTTTGATTCTTTTTTCTTTTTTTTTTGTCTCCTTGTGTTATTTCAACCAGCCCACCTTCAAGTTCAGAGGTTCTCTCTTCAACTTCCGCAAGCGTGCTGATTAAACTCTCCGTTGTGTTTTTTATTTCGCTGAATAAGTTCTTCAGTTCGGCAAGTTCTGCTACATTTTTTTTCAGGACATTGATTTCCTTGTACATTTCCTCTTTCAGGTCCTGTATACTTTTCCTCGTTTCATCATGATGTCTAGATGAGTTTTCTTGTATCTCATTCAGTTTCCTTAGAATTATCACTCAGTCATTTCAAGGGCTTCTTGTTCTATAGGATCTAGAGCTTGAGATTTATTAACTTTTGGTGGTGTACTTTCTTGATTTTTTGTATTTCTGGCAGGGGGTTTCACAGTCCACAGGTTTGATACTATTGACTAACTAAGATGTTGCTGTGGTTGCCTATTTGGTATGGCTACCTCAGTGACTGCTCAGTTGGACACTAGTGCCTTGTGTGTATGGTTGCCTCAGGTCTTGGGCCTCTATGCGGAGCCACCTCTCTGGTCAGCTGGGACTCTGCCAGGCTGCTGGATCACGAGGCAGTACCACAGGGTGTGTGGTCTCTGCTGAGCTTCCACCTCCTGTGCAGGATTTCTCCCTGTCCCGTGCACTCTGGCCTGGGCTCCTGGGATGCACCGAGTCACCACAGAGCGTGTGGTCTCTGCAGAGCTTCCCTTTCCCCTACGGGATGTCTCCCTGCTCTGTGAGCGCTAGGCCAGGCTTGGGATGGAGCCGGGTGGCGGCAGTGAAGCCTTCCTGCTGCTGGATCACGCAGCGGCGGCCCCCCTACAGGCTGTGTTGACTCTACGGAGCTTCTATCTCCCTTGCTGGACGTCTCTGTGCTCCGTACGCATTAGGCTGGGCTGCTGGATCGCATGGCAGCAGTGTGGTCCCCGTGGAGTTCACGCCTCCCCTGCTGGACGTCTCCCTTCTCCGAGTGCACTAGGCTAGGCTGGGAATGGAGCCGGGTGGTGGCGGTGAAGCCTACCTGCTGGATCATGCAGTGGCAGCCCCACAGGGTGTGTGGTTTCTGCTGAGCCTCCGCCTCCCTTGCTGGTCGTCTCCCCATTCTGTGCGCACTGGGCTGAGCTGGGAATGGAGCCGGGTGGCGGCGGTGAAGCCTATCTGTTGGATCATGCAGTGGCGGCCCCACAGGGTGTGTGTTTTCTGCTGAGCCTCTGCCTCCGTTGCCGGACATCTCCCCACTCTGTGTGCACTGGGCTGGGCTGCTGGATCACGCAGTGGCAGCCCCACAGAGTGTGTCTTTTTCTAGTTTCTTAATGTTAAAGTTAAGCTTATTGATTTGATATTTATCTTTTTCTCATGTAAGCGTTTACAACTATAGATTTCCCCGAGAACTGCTTTCACTGTAACACATAAGTTTTGCTATGTTGTGTTTTAATTATCATTCATCTCAAGGTGTTTTATAATTTCTCTTATGATTTCTTTGACCTATTGGTTATTTAGGATTGGGTTCTTTAATTTCCATATAACTGTGAATTTTGCAAATGCCCTTCTGTTACTGATTTCTATTTTCGTTCTGTTGTGGTTGAAGAACATCATTTGTATGATTTCAGTCTTTTTACATTTATTGAGACTCATTTTGTTTCCTACATATGTTCTATCTTGGAGACAGTTTTATGTGCACTTGATAGAATGTGTATTCTGTTGTTATTGGATGGTATGTTCTATAAATATCTCTTAGGTCTAGTTGGTTGATTGAGTTGTTCAAGTCTTATTTCCCTTTTGATCTTCTGCCTAATTATTTCTTCTGTGATTGAAAAGAGGGTATTGAAATCTTCAAATGTTATTGTTGAATTGTCTGTTCTTTCCTTCAGTGTTGTCATTTTTTTGGTTCATGTATTTTGGGCCTCCATTGTTAGCTACATATATGTTTAAAATTATATTTTTCTGTTGGATTGATCTTTCATCATTATAAAATGTCATTCATTGACTCTGATAACAATTTTTGTTTTAACATCTATTTTATCTGATATTAGCATAGCTACTCCAGCCCTCTTAGGGTTTTTGTTTGCATAGTATGCCTTTTTTCTTCCTTTTACTTTCAACTTATTTCTACTTTTGCTGTTTATTTTCTGAGTAGTCAGTAATTATTGAGTGCTTGCTGTATACAAAGCTAAACCGGTTTTATCTTTGCCTTTTCTACTCCTTAAATCTTTCCATCTACTACTTCCAGCATTAGGAACATGTACATCGTAGTCTTGATATTTATGGAAAGAATCTAATGGAAAACTCATGCAGATTGTGTAATTCTTGTGAAAGCCATCCATAATTTTACAGGAACATGGTTGAACCCAAAGGCCTAATATTTACAGTAGTAACCACGCTTATATAAAATTTTGTGCATGTGTGTTGTGACCCCTTTCAGTTTATGAGTACTCCCGTATTCTCGTAGGAATGTAACCTTAGTCCCATCCCTTGGCAGTATTGTCTATGGTTAAAGTACCAGGTTGACAGTGGTGGAACCAAGGCTTGGAGATCTCAAGGATCATGCTCAAGCTGTGGAACTCCCTGGACCATGTGATCATCTCCAGCAGATCTGGGCTCAAGCCCCAGCTCCACTAACCACCAGGCCATATGCAAGACTATATTCCTCTTACCACTTTCATCCTCTGAAGAAAAGTGAGCAGATCCCATCTTATTTAAACCTACATCATTTTGTTATCCTTCTCAGTGCGATTCTTTGGAGACCCCAGCCCAGAGGGGCCTCAGGGACTATGACAAGGGTATTCTACTCACAGTATGACTTTCCCAAGTTCCGAAGTAGCTGTTGCATTTTGTTACTAAATGTGCTCCCCTTGCTGTCTTCCCTCTCTCTTTTAGAGAAATGGGACCGTGTTACCACCACGACAACCAGGAGGCCAGGAACGACCAGAGCTCCGGCATATCCTGCAGGTAACACAGCTGCCCTAGGAGGGCAGTAGGAAGGACTCTGTGAAGCTCCTTCTGGGGTAGCGTCCAAATGAGTGCCATGTAGTTTTAAGCCCCCATATGTGCAAAGCCAATGAAGGCTTCCATTTGAGCACTGGGTTTAACTTAACAGAGTGCATACCTGGCTGATCACCATGACTTTTTTTTTTTAATCAAAAGTCTTGCCTGGGGAATTTTCTTTTCTTTTCTTTTTTTTTTTGTCTTTTTCCGTGTCTGGCAACGGATCGCAACCCTCAGTGTCGCCCCCGGACCGGACCGGGACCGGCAACGGGATCGCAACCCTCGGTGTTGCCCCCGCTCCTTGCTCAGCCAGTGAGCGGGAACCGGTCTGTATGTGGGATCCGAACCCTCGGCGGGAGCGCCTCCACGCTTCCCAAGCGGCGCACTAGCACAGTGCGCCACCGGGCCGGCCCTTGCCTGGGGAATTTTCAAGAGAAAAATGCATTTGGATTTCTTCCCTTTTTCAACCATTTCATATTCTACAGTCAGGGAAGATATACTTGTTTAGGTTTTATGAAGCCCATCAAACCTTTCCTTTAAGCAGATGGAACATTTTGGAATGTCATTTATTTTACAGCCTCATCTTTTAGTAGTGGGTTCTGGAACTCATTGCTCCTTTTTTGCCCTAGCGGGCCAGTGCAGGGATCTTGGTGTTACACCACCATGCTCTGACCACCTGAGCTAACCGCCCAGGCCCCCATACTCCTCTGTGACTCTTTCCTGTAGTTGTGTGAGCCTTTCTCCAGATGGGCCATTTTCCCATTCTCACATCTTCACTGATGTAAAGAAAAACTTGGCCTAGGGGACTCAGTCAGTGCTCACGTCCAGCACCCTGTTACCAGTACTTCAGGGGCGTGCTTGTTCATCCATTTCCAGGCTCCTTGTGGCTCCTTCAGAGATCATCAGACAGTTTTGGAGAAGTATCATATGTAATTTCCAGTTTATACATGATTGTCTAGGTAATACCTGCAAACAGGGCGTACACTGTTAAAACGGTCCACCTGCTGGCCTAAGCAAAGCATACTTAGGAATATAAATTAATTGAAAAAAGTGGAAGTATACTGCATAGTCAGAAAGCAGTAACTTGCTCCGTCCTGTAGGTATTTTCATCATCAATGTCTATATACAGAGTCAGATTCTATTTTAAGTTTTTGTCTTAATTCAATTGTTTGTACTGAACAGTTGAACCCACAGGTGTTTTGCTTTTTTTGGAATCTTGTACCCAGTTGTTAATCAGTTGGCTATTTCCTTTATGTTTTGGGCCCGCTCAAGGTGGTGAATTTGACTTGGCTGATGCTCTGGATGAGCGAAATGATGGCCACAGGAAACCGAATGCAGGAGGAGTTGGAGGAGGTAAGTCCTCACCGGTTGAAGCCTCTGGCCAGCTCTGTAGCTCCGTGGTTGGGTTCTGTCTCATTAACTACACAGCCCACAGAGCCATTCCAGCCTGGCAGAGCTGGGGTACTTCAAGCCACAGGAGAACCCTGAAACAGTGGGTCTCAGACTTTTTGGTATCAGAAATCCCCAAATTACTGAGGATCTCAAGAGCTTTTGTTTATGTGGGTCATGTGTATCAATATTTATCATCTTAGAACTTAAAACTGAAAAAACTCTATTATTTAATCTAAAATGAACAACACTATACCCATACCTGTTAACATAAACAGCACATTTTTATGAGAAATAACTGTGCTTGGCAAGACAAAATATAGTGAGAAGCGTGGCATTGTTTTCCAAGTTTGCAAATTTCTCTAATGTCTGCTTGTTGTTTGGTTGAGGTTTGTGAAGAAAATCTGGCCTCCCACAGATATGAAGTTGGGAAAGCGAGGAATATTTAATAGACTTTTCAGATCATCGTGGGTATTCTTCTTTGAAAAGACATCAAAACTCAACTAGTGGTGGTTTCTGTGGGTCAAGGACAGTGTGGAATAGGAAACTGTATCAGTGAACTTCTGACACTCGGTTCCACTGAATCCCATGGGGCTCTCTGGCCCTTTCAATGGGTGTTTTTACCTATTCATAGTTTTGTAACACTGCACGTTGGTCATTTGGAAAATATCGGTGTCCTGAGGATTTTTGAGCTTCCAACTGATGCCACATTCCATTTTGCAAAACCGAAAGTCACGGTTGTCAGTATCGCCACCTGTCTCATTAGGAAGTCTTATTGGGAAGCTGTTAAACTCACAGTGGTGGACATAGGCTTTTCAAAATTCTAATTTTTACGTGGAATTTTATCATTGGCAACAGATACCATCAGTGGTTTTCCTTGAATTGATGGGCTCATTTCATTCATTTTAAAGAAAATATCTGTCAAATATTCAAGTTGGCAGAACCATCGTTCATCCGTAATTCATTCTGTCTAGTGAAAGTGGTCTTCTGGGACACACAGCAGCTAGTACAACTTAGAACTGGAACAATCACACAGGTGCTTTTGTGAATCGGCTATAGTACTTTGGAGTGTTTTAAGCATGCTTCCCACTTCATCACACAGAGTATTAAAAGACATGTACTCAATGTTTGAGCTATAATTAACAGTTCTCTGCTTCCTTGTATTAGTTTTCTATTGCTGCATAACCAATTATCAGAGACTTAGCAAGTTAATGCAACACCCATTTATCACCTCAATTTCCTTTGGGCAGGAGCTTGGGAACAGCCGGGTGTTCTGTGCAGGGTCTCATGCACGTGCACTCAAAGTGTTGACCAGGGCTGGGGTCTCATCTCAGGTTAAGCCAAGCTCCCGTGGTTTTTAACAGAGTACATTTCCTTGCAGCTGTGGAAGTAATGGCTGCTTCCTTCTTCAAGACCATAAGAGAAAGAGAGAGACGCAGAGAGAGGGGGCGGAGGGGGGAGAGGAGAGGAGGGAGAGACTAGCTCTTGCTTCTTGTGTTCCACAGGGCAGGCACGCCAGTGGCAGGCAAGCTTGGGGCCCTCTTAGAATTCTGTCTACCACGTTCATAAAGGACATTCTTAAACGGAACCGACAATCATTTTCTGTGAATGTTGGGCAACATTAAATAACAGGTTTCTTGTTGCTGAATTTATTTTCTTTGTCATTGAAATGAGAATTTTATTTTCTCCAGGTTTGTCCGACAAGGATCTTGAAGACATACTAGGGGGTGGTGATTACAAGCCTGACAAGGGTAAAGGTAGGAGCCTTGATTTGTCCAAACACGCGCCTTCGTCTGCTTAAGAACGCGATGACCCAGTAACCATCTCAGTGAACGTCCTTCCCACACGTCCCAGCCTGCCAGTTGGGGTTCACTTGGAATGATGTGGGCTGTACAGCTCTAGGGGGCGATTTATAAGCCAGCGTGGAAAAGCCACACAGTTTCCCAGAAGTTCTCTGAGCCCGGGTGCTGCACGGGCTAATGTGTCCCTACTGGTAGAAGGCGGGCCAGTGATGGTAACTGAGCACTAGAGCCTGTCTCTTGGAGGGGAAGGGCAAGCTCATCACGACGTGCCCATTTTAAGAGACCGTAGCAAGTCAGATATCTTTAAAAATACCTTTTTATTTTGAAATAGCTTAAGACTCACAAGAAGCTGTAGAAAATAGTTCAGGAGAGTTCTGTATCCTCTCACCCAGCTTCCCCCGATGAGAATACCCTACATGACCACAGCACGTTGCCGAAACTGGCAGGTTGGCGTTGGCACGATCCTGTGACCTCGGGTGCAGGCCTCATTCAGGTTTCAGCAGACTCTGCATGCATTTGGGTGCGGGTTTGTGTGTGTGTGTGCAGGTCTATAAGATGTTGTCACATGTAGATTTGTGTGACCATCCCCACAGTCAGGAGGCAGAGCTGTTCCATCACCACAGAGACACTTTCTTGTATTACCCCCGAATAGTCATGTCCTCTCCAAGACCAGATATTTTTAGTCCCCCACCCCACCAAAGATTTAAGCCTTTCATCATGGTATACATCAAAATCTGTTCCTGAGACTGGAGGAGAGGTTAGCCAGACTTGATGTGGCAAGACAAGTCAGTGTTGTAACTTGTGACTGTAACTAGTTACTGCTATAGCTCATGGTTATCACCTGTGATGGTTTTAACTTGTGGTTGTACCTTTTGTCATAGCAATCTGGTATGATGGTTAGTTGTGATGGTTGTGACTCTTTGGTTGTAACCTATTGTGATGGCAAGTCGCTACAGCAGGTTGTAAGTCTTAAAGGTTAAGGGCACATCTGACTGTAACCCTGACACGCTCCCCACAGTCCTGGCTGTTGTACTTGCATTTACTTATTTCTTGCAAGGACTGTGGGCCTTTCATATGGGAACAGTGTTCTCTTCTGATTAGAGGATACCATCGTTGAATTTGTCCTTCGTGACACCTCCCTAGACAGTGTCATCTCTAGTAAAAAGCCCTAAAAACCTCTAAGTGAAACTCACAGTTGTCAGGGGAACATGGAACATTTAAAGGGCAAACCCAGCAAATTAGCCAATTACTCCTAGGTGACAAATGGTATTTCCAGATGGCAAGACGAGGGCAGTGGTGGCATGTGGAAGACGCACACGGAGGAAAAGTCTGAATGACACGCCGGGACTTTTCCTTATTAAAAGTACATGTTTTAGCAAGGAAGAAGTGTTAGGGAATTCTTTAATTAGGCTCATATTTGAACTTTTCTTGTAAAGAAAGAATAATCAATTGTTAGCTTACGATATACCCTGTGTCATGATGGGTGTCAGAAGATAAGGGGATCCCGACAAAAAGGACAGGTGTGAACCTGAAACCTGCCTACGATAAGCGCACAGTGGCATTTGCAGACATGCGTGCTAATGTGTGAGCGAAGATCAGACATCACGGTTAAATGCATCATGATCTTCAGCTTAAGAAGAATCCTAATTAATGCATTTACCAGCTTTGATTCTTGGGCACATAGACTCAGCTGTTCTTTGAGTGTATTTCTGAAATATGTTATCTGTTATGTATTTTTTTTCTCATGAAAACATTTTTACTGGCTTTGTAGAAGCCCCATATTTTGTCTGTAGGTGACAATAACAGTCTTTCATCAACAGGTCCTATTGCCTTTCCCTAAGAGGGTGGCCTGTCAGCCCATCTCCTCTGCCCTTCCTCCCTTACTGCCCAGTCTGGACTCTGATTGCCTCCTGTTTCTGCCAACAGTCTCCTCCTTTCCCTAGCACTTGGACTGACAGAAACTTGAGGCCAGTAAGTTTCAGCTCTTCACTGGCCACCCCCCACCCCCCGTCATCCACACCCTAGTGCACGCAAGACTCTACTCCCACTGTGAGTAGAGTGACTTCCTGGTGGCCACAGCCCCCTGCCCTGTGTGACCTCCACACATTCGACTGGGATGATCGCCTTAACATTCTTTCTTCCTAGGCCCTTCCTGAGTCGTTCACTGGTCTCATTCACTGCTTCTTCTGAAACGCTGTTGCCTGTCGGATTTATGTCCTTGGGTGTGCAGTTCAGTATGTCACTCTCTTCCAGCGGGAAAGAGAATGGTATTAGGAGCCACGATCTGAGCGCGTTCATTGCTTAGCGGGGTATCGCTACTTCTAGACTGTGATGTTTCATGTTAGGTGTCGACTTGACTAGATTCAGGAATACCTAGAAACCTGGTGAAGCATTGTTTTGGGGTGTGTCTGTGAGGGTATTCCCAGAGGTGAGTGGACGGGGTGGGGAAGATCCACCCTCATATGGGTGGGCACCATGCAATCTGCCGGGAGCCTGGAGAGAACAAAAACACAGAAAGGTGAGTGTGTCAATTTCCCTCTCTGCTGAGCTGGGAAACACTCTGTCCTGTCCTTGGACAACAACTCCAGGCTCCCCAGCTTTTGGCCTCCAGGACTTATACCAGCACCCAGCCCTCCACTGGGTCCTAAGGCCTTTGGTCTTGGACTGAGAATTACACCATTGGCTTTCCTGGTTGTGAGGCTTTTGGACTTAGACTGAGCCACGTGACCATCATCCCAGGGTCTCCAGCTTGCTGATGACCCGTTGTGGGATTTCTCAGCCTCCATAATCATGTGAGCCACTTCCCCTAATAAATCCCCTCCTATATCTATATCTCTGTTGTTCTGTCTCTCTGGAGAACCCTGACTCCTGCACTAAGAAGGCATAGGTAGGAAATAGCTAAGAAATATGTGTATATATACTAACTCATGTGTCTTAGTTCAGGCTGCTATAACAAATTACCATAGAATGGGTGGCTTAAACAACAGAAATTTCTCATAGTTCTGGAGGCTGGAAAGTCCAAGATTAAGTCGTGAGTAGATCCAGTGTCTGAAGGTTCTCATCCTGGTTTGCAGATGGCTGTCGTCTTCTTGTGTCCTCACATGTTGGACAACAGAGAGGGGGGCATGCTCTGGTGCCTTTTCTTATAAGGGCCCTAATTGCATCATGAGGGCTCCGTCGTCATGACCTCCTCACTTCCCAGAGACCCTACCTCCTAATACCAACACATTGGACGTTAGGATTTCAACAGAGTCATTTGGGGGGTGGGGGTGGGATACAAACATTCAATACATAACACCACATATATAAACATCTCTGTAATTATTTTTGTATTTAACCATCAGTAGTTATCGTAACGTGAGCGTGACTTCATGCTTGTCTCCATCTGTAATCCAGTGCCAAAAGGGTTATCCTGGTCTCCCTTTCGTGCCTGCCTGTAACTTCCCTCTCTGATGAGAAGCCTGGCTCCTCCTGCATGTCACCCGTTTACTTTCTGGAACAATTCCAGCACAGAAGTGTTAGAACTGTTAACCTGTAACCCTGTGAGAGACAACTGTACCAACTGGAGCCTGGATTTATGTTTCGTTTTTGTCTTTACCTTACCGTTTCCAGTCAAAATACTGCTTTCCAAAGTTACTTAGGTCAGCTCCTTTCCCCCATCATCCCTTTCAGACAGGTATGCCGTGTGTTTATAATGGAGTTCAATTCAGTTGTCATAGTCTGCATTCCAGCTTGGTATTCCCCCACCCACCTAGTTGATGTTTTGTTTTGTTCTTTTGCTTGCAGAAAATATTTTTTACATTTCATGTTTGTTTATTTATTTATTTATTATTGGTTATGAATATTGATGGGGTACAAAGCAAATTGTCACCACATGTGCCTAAGATGTGATGGCCCGATCCATACTGGCAGCATGCTCATTACCACAAATTGTGATTATACCCCGTGTCCCCCACCCAATTATCCCCACAATTATCCCTGACCTCCCTCCCCATGCTTGCAGAAATTTAAGTTCACTCTTTGTGATGTACAGTTGTACGCGTTTTGACAAATGCATGGAGTGATGTGCCCACCACCCAAGTACCATATGGAACAGTCCCATCAGCATGTAAATTGTTCTGTACAACCCCTTTACAGTTGGTCTTACCCCCTCCCTCAACCCTAATCTATTTTCTGTTAGTACAACCACTGATCTATTTACTGTCTCTACAGTTTTGCCTTTTCCAGAATGCCATATAATTGGAATCATACTGTATGTAGACTTTTCAGACTGGCTTTTTTCACTTAACAATATGCATTTAATGTTCTTCCATGTCTTTTCATAGTTTGGTAGTTTGTTTCTTTGTAATAATGAATATTATTCTGTTGTATGGATATATCACTGTTTATGCATTCATTCACCTATTAAAGGACATCTTGGTTGCTTCCAGTTTTGGGTGAATATGAATGAAGCTGTTAAGCTGTCTTCCAAAGTGGCTGTACCATTTTACATTCCCATGAGCAATGAATGGGAGTTCCTGTTGCTTCACATTCTCATCAGCAATTGATACAGCGTCACTTCTTGGATTTCAGGCATGCTAATAGGTGTGTAGTGGTATCTCACTGGTGTTTTCATATGCATTTCCGTAATGAGAACTGATGTTGAGCATTTATTTTTCTTATTTTATATTTTTCTTTGATGAAGTCTGTTGGGGTATGGATAAGGACTGATTGGCCAGTGGCATGAGAGAGCTTTCTGGGATGATGGCAATGTTCTATATGTTGATGGGTTCTGGGTTTTGTAGATTTTTTTGCTCAATTTAAAATTTGGGTTGTTTGCATTCTTATTGTTGACTTTATGAGTTTTTCATATAATCTGGATATAAGCCCTTTATCAGGTATATGATTTTGCAAATATTTTTCCCAGTGTGTGGGTTGTCTTTTCCTTTTCTTTAAGGTGTTATTCACAGAATAAA